TTTGTTTACTTTCTAACGTGGTTAAGTCTGTTTTAAGGCTTTTAAGTTTGCATCAGTGTACCCTCAGTGTGTGTGTTCAGTTTTTTACTTCCTGTTTTGGATGTAGTACGGCATGTTTTAAGGTGCCATTTCATATCCTTTCCTCCATCTCCTCTCTGACATATGGAGAAGTCTATGTTAAGGCACCCATAAGTGCATATTTAGAGGTTTGTTTACTTTCTTTCAAACATATGGAGACGTTGGTTTAAAGGTCCCACTTTGTGTTTTGAATTATGCCGCTAAGTCTGTGTCAAGGAACCCTTAGTCTGAACTTCTGTTTCATGGCACTCTTCAGTGTTTTTCAGCTTCTTGTCTAACATGAGACAAAGTCTGTTTCAAGGTACCCTCAAGTGTTTGTTTCCAGGCTTGTTTACTTTCTCGTTCAGAAGAGGCAAGCCTGTTTCCAGGTCCCCTCTAAGTCTGTGACAAGGTACCTTTAGTATCTGCTCTGTACTGTTTACTTCCAATCTAAGACATTTAAAGGACTGTTTTATGGCACCCTTATAGTAACTTTTTACCACTTTTCCCCATTGGACAAAGTCTGTTTCAAGGTACCCATGGGTTTTTGTTTTCAACTTTCTTCACTTTCTCTTCAAAATTTCACAGTTTGTTTTCAGATACCTTCTTGTTGTCTTCTTCCATTCTCACATGTCGAATGCTGTATCAAGGCATCCTCGAGTAGCCTAAATGTTTTCAGGTTTGGTTGTTTTACTTACTCTGATGGGTCTGTTTCGAGGTTCCCTTCGGTCTGTGTTTTCCTTAGATCAACGTTGTGCAACAATTTGAAGCTTTTGGCTAAAAAGACACGCAAGATTTGGGATGCACATCATACTGAGAGTTAAAATAATAATGTCTGCACGCTCTGGGAACCATGGGATTATAAATGTCTTCACCTGGCTTCTGAAGAGCAGCTGCTTTAAGTGTCTCCTGTCGCTGTAGATGTGTTTACATTTACCGCAGCCTCTTTCACATTAACAAACATTCATTACACTTTCAGTCGAGCCCACTGTCCAGCCCCTTTTTAATTATAAATGTCACTGCGAGTCATTTTAGCATGTCTGCTTCACACAGCACATTAATAAATACTAAAGTTCAACAAGTACAAGGCTGGATGCTGAGCAATAAGCGGAGGTATTCATTGGTATTTACCCTCCCGGGGGAGCGTCTCCATGTATTTTTGATCGCTGGATACCGTCCTGCTCGGCGTGACATTTCGGTTTGTTTTTGGACTTTTTTAACAGGAGAGGACAGCAGTAAATTGAAGTTAATACAAAGTGAGAGGTAATCGGTAAAAGTTCATCATCTTTGATCCTGTCACATCACCGTCCCGTCAACATCAGCTCAGTGGAGACGGACTCGTGTCTGATTTATACTCAAAGACAGTCGAGTTATTGTTCAAAACAAAACCCAGCAGTGTTAACTTCTCCGCTTGGATCAAATCATGCTCTGCTTGTCCTCTTTCATTTAATTAAAGGTGTTAATGTTCCAGGTTATGCCTTCAGGTTGCCGTGGAGATTCAAAATGATTGACAGGGTGTCTCCATCTCCCCCTCCTCATACTGTATGTGCTCTTCTGGCTGAGAGCACAGTTTGCTTGGTTTGGCCCAGAGCAGGAAGTGTAGCTGGATGATTGAAAGGAGTCCAGGAGGTAGAAAGGGTTGGTTTGGGGGGGATAATGGATGCAGAGAGGTGGGTGACTCCCTTTCTTTCCATCCTTATCTATAACATTGACTCAGTTTGGCATCTAAATGGGAGGATTGTCATTTTAAGCAGGAATAACATTTTGAATCTGCAGTCGGATGGCTGGCTGCTTGCCTCGCAGGGGTTTCGGTCATTTCCAATGTAATTAGTGTGTAAGATGAGCCGGGAGAGAGTGGCGCCAATATGGCTGAATAATACAGGGGGAGGTGTTGGAGCACTGATGGATAATTTAACAAGGATATTCAGAAGCTAGAAGTACCTGAGAGCCCTGCAGAGGAAGAATGACACGAGTGAAGAAGTTGAGGCAGACTGACAGATTTCCATAGAAAGAAATTCGACTTCTTTTCTCCGACAGCTGCGAAAAACGCTGTTATCTGTAATGATTAATGTGCCAGCTCAGCAGGGAAATGCCTGAGAGTGGATTATTATTCATAGTATTCATATGAAATTATAAGTCATCTGATAAGCACCATGTTGTTGTTTCTCTGTTTCCCCCCCGCAGATAATTTTCCGCAAGATCAGTGAGGTGAAGAAGGAGGAAGAGGAGAGGCAGCGGGCGAAGAACGAGGTGCAGCTCACCATCCCGCAGGACCATCCGGTCAGGAAGCTTTTCCAGAAGTTCAAGCAGCAGAAGGAGCTTCGCAACCAGGGAGCCGCCGCCGCCGCCTCGCAGGTGGACCTGGAGAAGAACCAGCTGCAGGTGGAGCAGCAGCACCACCACCAGCACCTGCACCCACACAGCCTGCAGCTGGGCCACTCCAGCCTGCAGCACTCCCTGCCGCTCAGCCTGCAGCGGCCCCACTGCTCCCTGCAGAACGGGGCGCCACCCAGCAGCAGCGTGCTCACTGTGTCTCAGGTCACGCCCATGCAGTGCTCGCTGGCGTACAGCCATCCAGGCGAGCCTCCCGCCAAGCAGAACAATTGTGACATCATGGAGATGCAGCCCAGTTCTGCCGGAGGCGGGGACGAGCAGACTGTCAGGCTCAAAGTCAGCACCAGCCCCGCGCTGGCGAAACCGGCCATCAAGGCCACCGGCTGGATGAGGCTGAAAAACAACATGGCTCCAGTGGAGGCCAGGAAGGAGGGGTTGAACAACAACGTCAAGGCTGTCTCTGTGGAGATGCTCTCCCAGGAGGGTAAAGGTCAGGAAGCAGGAGGGGGAGGGGATGTAGAGGAGGGTGGGGTGTCGAGTAATAACCCCCTGAGAAAGACAGACTCATGCGACAGCGGCATCACCAAGAGCGAGCTGCGGATCGACCGAGCGGGGGAGGCGAGGACCCCCGCCGCGGTCTCCCCGCTCCTCCACAGCCCTCTCCCCGTAGGAGCGGGGTCTCCTCACCCTTTCTGCCCCATTCCGGAGCAGGCCCTGCAGGCTGCGCTGCACGAAACCCGGCTGGAGCTCCGGGAGGACATTCAGAGTCTGGGGGGCCGTCTTGGCGCCCTGGAGAGTCAGGTAGCTGAAATTATCAAACTGCTGTCGGAAAAGAAGCGGCCGAGCACGCTGGCGCCGTCAGCCTCCACCACACCCAAAACCAAAATCCAACGTCAGGACATTTTCACCGTTTCCAGGCCTGTTTCTCCAGACTCAGAGAAAGACGACGGGCTCTGAAGGGAGCTGACCCAGTGGTGTAGACAGTGTCCTGGAAAAAAACACAGTAATCACATGGCACTTTTATCCACTATGATCACAATTACCAGATGAAGGTTCGCCTGATTTTTTTGGACCTCCAGCTTCGTCAGATCCTCTTACACCACTGGTGATGCTAACAAACTGTCTTCTCTGACATTTGCACACAGACTTAAACCCCCGCAGATCATGTGAGAGTCCAAACTCCACAGTAACCTGGACCCGTTTTTTCTGATTGTACATACCTCTCTATGCATGTCCAGCTGGATTCTGGCCTGCCAAAGAAACAACTTAACATACTTATTGCCTGTATATTATGCAGTTGACTGCATGCAAATGGAATTTAAAGACGTTTTATTGAGCTACACTGTACATACAAATATTTTTCATTGATAATTTATTATGTGGACATTCAGGGTTTGCATACTGGTAGCACTATAAACACTGAATAACAAAAGGGTTTACTGGCAAAGGAAACATGCATGGAATATTAGCGAATAGAAAAATAGGAAGGTACTCTTTTTTTTATTTCTTTCTTTGGGGCCATTTGACAAAATACAACCAGAGTTCCTAAAGTAGTAAGAAGTGGTAGAAGCAGATTTTTAAGGTTTGCAAATCATTTAAACTCTGTTTATTTGAAAATAGTGCAAAGAGAACATCAGATGTTTTAGCTGATTTTTTTTATTGTTTTTGAAAACTATATTCTTGTTTTTAATTTGCTGCCAGTAAGACCTTTCAAAGGACTTCAGGCAGGAACCAAAAACCCAGTTGAAAAATCCAAAATGTTCAGAGAGTGCTGTTAATAGTAAAGGAGAGGTGATGCACCACAACGGTAAAGATGCTCCTGTCCTGACTTTCTGGCATCAAATTTAAAGGGATATTCCGGCGTAAATTTATGGTCAAACACACCGTAACACAGAGTTAGACACGCCGTCAGGAGATGGATGTTGCCGACCACTTGCTTCTCTAGTTATACCAACTTTAGTAACAACCACACGATAGCAATACACAGAGCCACACGCTCAACCAAAATGCAAAAAGTCTTTTTAAGACTAAATACAACTCTTCTACTCTCTTCCAGCAGCCACTTGTTTGTACAGAGACCTCCGGGCGAATCCATTGACTGCTGCGGGGTGCCACAGCTCAAGGAAGAACATTTATGATCATTACTTTATCATTTCCTTGAAGTAATAATCACCATATTAATCATTTTGCACTGCAGACGCGGTAGTTCTTCTGCCTTAGCGTCTTGGTCTGATTGCGTTTTAATGAAGAAATGATCATAAATGTTCTTCCTTGAGCTGTGGCACCCCGCAGCAGTCAATGGATTTGCCCGGAGGTCTTGCTACAAACAAGCGGCTGCTGGAAGAGAGTAGGTGAGTTGTGTTTAGTCTCTTTGCTAAAGAAATTAGGTAAAGTTAAAAAGATGTTTGGTGGCTAGTACTATGGCTGGGACCCTATATGTACTGTTGATGAAGTTAGGTGCTGTTCTGAGCATTATTTGTGACTATAGAGTGGCGTTTTAGTTGAGCGCGTGGCTCTCTGTATTGCTATCTGTGGTCGTAACTAAAGTTGGTATAACTAGAGAAGCAAGCGGTCGGCAGCATTCATCCCTAGACGGAATGAATGCTATACGGGGTGTCTAACCCAATGTTACGGTGTGTTTGACCATAACTTAATTTTACGCTGGAATATTCCTTTAACATGAGCATCAAATATGTTGACTTTGCTCTATTTTCAGAGTTTAAATGATTCATGAACCATCAGTTTCCTTCTGCAGACTTGTGGCTGTAGAAATTTACTCTCTTGCTCACAGTAAAGGAACACTCTGGTTTCGATTTCTAGCCGTTTGTTATTTCGCTTCTTATGATAATTTCTATTTTTGATAACGAAAAACGCGTCCTCAGATGTCCGGTAAACCCTTACATGGTTATTTTGTTAGATGCCTCCTTGTGTCTATGCATCACTGCTAGGATATCCTGAAATATGACACCCTTGTTCTCATGTCGGTGAATGAAGGAATTGTTTTTTTCTTTCCATTCCTTTGCATGAATCAGGGATGGTAGAATGCACTTTGGGTAAGGCTGGGATGACGAGAAGTCTTTGGGGAAATAACAGCGAGTTTAGTTCACATAAAAAAAAGTCCACTCAGCACCGTGACATGTAATCCCCACAGCCCCTGCACCGCGCACAGCTGTCTTAACCAGCGAGAGTCGTTCTGAATCCCATTAGACGGCAGCTTCACCGCAGAGAGCTCGAGTAATAAAAATGGAATTCTGTACTTTTCATATCAGCTCTCCAGATCTGCATGCAAAGGAGCAGTTTTATGCTCCAGGTTGCGTACATTTGCATATACATGTGTGTGTTCAAGAGCTGACACACACACACACACACTCCATGCATTCACATGCACAGTGTGACAACACCTCTTGAAGTGAATGAACCCTGAAGGGCCGCTGAGATTTTTCCTTCAGACACAGAAGATTTGTGGGTTTTGTCTGAAGTGAAGGTTCTTCAGGTCTTTGAGATCCAGATTCAGATGCTCTTTCCCCTTAACGTGCACATTACACACACACACATACACACACATGATCATGATGAATAAACAAGAATAACACAATGGATCGCTAATGTAAAGTAGCCATCGTGAAACTCCGAAATTTGAAATTGCAAGATTAAGTTAATTCCTGATTTGCAATGTGAGCGAATCAGCAGGTGGAAGAAAACAGGCTGATGTAAGGGACAGTTTTAGCTAGCTAGCTTGTTTATCCTCTTTTTAGGTTTTTATATTGCTGTTTGTTTTTAAAGAAAATAAGGAGAAAGTTACTGCAAAGTTGTCAAACTGGCTCTAAACTGAGTGTTACCCCCAATTTCCACCACATCCAGAATGGCTACGAAAAGGTTGTATCCGCCGATCGCAGCTGATCGTAACCATTCAAGTAAATGTGTCAATTTCCACCGGCTTCTTTCCGTTCCACTGTGGATCGCCGGACTCCACAGCTGATTGCAAGGGTTCTATTTTTTCTGTTCGCCGTAGACACCGGATAAATTCAGCACAGATTAACTCGTGCTGGAAAGGAAGTCAGGCACAGACACAAAATAAAACATCTGGCTTCAATGTTTCAGGCAGATCGTATTTCGAACAATGCAAGCAGATGGAGATGAACAAGTGAAAGGTTTTTCGACAGCATTTCACCACCGATGACTCCATGGATGAGGAGATGCTGATTCTTGAAGTCTAGAAGTAGATTTCCTCCTCTGGAAGGACACAATCTACTGCTTATATGGTTAGCCTATGTGGCTAAGAGACAACTTGTTATCGCGTGAGTTCTTGCCATTACCGCTGTCCATAATCCACCACAAAATTCATCTCATAAACGGATCCGTTAGGAATTGGCATACGGCGAAAATTGCTGCCGTTCTGGATGCAGTGGAAATCCCGGGTTAGTGTTAGTCCAGGCAGGCCACAAAGTCAAGCTCAGCCCAGAGTACATCAACGCCAGCACATGTCAGCTGACAGTCTTTGCTGCTGCTCTCCCTGCATACCACCAAAAAGTACTCGCTGCATTCAACTACAGAACTTTCTTTGACAGGAGTGGTCCTGACTGAATGTCAGCGCTTATTGACTGACATTATTACCAGCCCCATAGTCTCCAAAACTTCCCCCTGAACCACTCACTGCGCCTAAACTCAAGCATCAGTTTCCCTTTTGTCTTCATGTCAGATTCAGATTCTTGTCTCTGCTGTCAACAGGCTGGAAAATGATGAACATTAATAACGCTGTAATGCTAATTGGCATAAAATCCCACCAGTTGAGACATGAGATTTCTGTCACGGCGTGCTAATCATGTTTCGCTCCGGAACATTTTGAAAAGAAAACTGTTTTAATGGCCTTTGTTGTGCAAATGAGAACATTTCGGTAAAATGTGAATGTCATCCGGAGCACATAAGCCTGTTTTCTGCACCAACCTGCTTCACGGTGATATCAGCGCATGTTCACTCTGCTGTCGGCCTCTGAGCAGATCCCCTGCATGAATCAGGGGTAAGTGCCTTGCTCAGGGGCACGTCAGCGGCAGTCCAACCTGACACAGAAATTAACATATCCTAACGTTTCACTGATGGCTACCTTAAAAGCTTTACATCTCTTAATCTTACTGACATGTCACTTCAAAGCTATGCAACATGTGATTCTTGGAGCTGTAAACAGGCGGATCCTGATGGACTGGAACTATTCCTTGTTATATAGTGTCAATATGAAACGCAGGGTTCGGCTAATTATTGAGTATATATCTATTTAAGAGGTTTATTTGCTTATGTATATAAGATATCAGCTATTTATACCCCCCCTTCTACAGATGTCACCTAAATGAACCAAATGATGGCGAGTCAAAACTTACCGTTCCTCCCCAGATTCAGAGTCGTGGTTAATTTGATGAGTTTTACGTTGGCGCCACCATCAAATCCGACGATTGAGTCCTAGCCCTCTTACACTTAAATGTAGGGATGTACCCATACAACTTATTTACTTCCAATACAATACAGATATTGTAGCCTCTAGTCTTGGCCGATATTGATATTGATCCAATATTGGTGCAGAATCGTGTATGACAGGTTTGGCTTTTGGCTGGAACATCTTTTTTGGACTTAAACATAAAATACTGCACGCTACATCCAGGCGCTGCCAGAGTGGAGTCTGGGATGGACCGCTTGTATCAGAGTGCTGATATTAAAAATTTCTGATGCAGGCCGATAAAATCCGATATTCATCATTTTGCGTATATCAATATCCGATCAGGACATCCCGATTTAAATGCTAACTTTTGCATGCTGAATGCTTCAACATACAAGCTCATCGTCTGAATTCAAGGTTAGTGTTTGACTATTAACCTGTTAGCGCTGCTTCAACGAGGGTTAACTGATCTCATCATAGGTTTTACTTTGCAGTACTGCCCTCTTTTTGGCGCCCCCTTCAGGTGAAAATCAAAAACATTCGAGCTTAAATCGCAAAATGATCAAATCAAATTAAAAACAACATAAACAAAACCTCTCTGAATTTGGTCTCAAACTTTGCTGTTTTTTCAGATTGTGTCTCAACACTATAGTATAATACTTTTCAGGCACATGTGCATTTAAAGCTTAATAAGATGGAATGGAAACAATTATAATTAAAAACTTTAACTCTCCAAATTAAAAGCAGGATCACAAAGAGAAGTCTCTAATAGCCTTTGAGGATAGCTCTGCTAATGTGATATCAAGAGGCTGCGAGTTTCATTACTTTGAAGCATACAAACAGACGGTTCTGCTGTTATCAGCCTGATTACTGTTTGACTCGTCAACACCATTAACTCTCAGACCCTTCAGAGGGCACTCAGCCCTCAGGAGTGGGCGTGTTGGCGTCCTCAAAGTACTTGTTGAACCAAAATGCTGTTCGGTGCCGGTGGGCTTTTTGATCAGTTTGGACCCGGTCTAATTATCCCGGGGTCCTATCAGAAGCACATTAGGTTAAGATGTATAGCATAGGTCAGTTTTTAATTGGATCCCTATTGTTTGACCCGTGGAGGCCTCTTCTCTCCAGCCAAGTTTGGTGACTCTGCTTTAATGAGTCCGGTTTCCTGTGGTTAATGAAAACAAGTCTGCATATCTTGAAATGAGTCATCATGGAATCATTACACGTGTATCAGTCGAGTCTGGTAGAAACTTTGAAAAAGATTTAACTTGAATATGTCAGAAAGAGAAAGTCGTTTTGTACTCTTGGACTCTGATGTTGAAAAGCTCAAATGCTTTTATGAAGTTGGACGATGGATATTGGTTTGCAGGCTCCTGATGGCGAGTTTAAATTCATTTATTTTTTTAGAAATTTGACCAAATTTTCACATTTTATTGTTTTTTAGTCGCTAATTAATTTTGGGCTGCTTTCTGTGTTATGAAATCGGTAATAATACGGCCTGACATCTGTCAGCTGAGCCGTACTGCATGCAGCCGCTGCTCATATCTCTGAATCTGCAGATGGAAGCATTTGAAGTATTGTTCTCATTTTAACAGGGTTTTTGTAGTTTGACCAAGTGGGCACCGCTCACTGAGTTTTTGCTCTCATTTGGCGGCAGACTCTTTTCTCTCAGAGATGTGAAAAGCTTTTAGGGGAGCCAGGAAATCACTTACCGACAGAGCTGGAGGAATACCGGGTCCAATTACTAAATATCCTCCAGAACGTACCAAACTTCAGAGTTTTATTGTCCTTTTCCTGACTCTGAGAAGAGTCTGAGGCGTTTTTTTTTCCCTCTCAGTTTGATTCTTACTGACAGTGGTGTGTGGAGAAGACAGCTGTCAGTGAGATCATATCACGATGAAGCGGATGATAAGATGACAAAAACAAAAGCAATAATACAGGATGAGAAGCGACAGAGAGAAACTGCTTTACTCTTCGGTATCTGCGATTTTTAAACTCTTTACAGACCCAAGATTGAAAACGTAGGTCACATTATTTAAGGAAAGTATCAGGCTTAAACTAAAACGAAACTCAGTATTTTAATCAAAGTATAAAATAAATCGCATCGTCCCTCTAACAAGTTGACAGAATCATCCTGGAATGAGCTGCATGTGTCCGTGAAGTCTGTCCCTTAGAGCACCGAGCAATAAGTGATCTTTTTCTTTTTACTGATTCAGAGAAATAATATCTAACATGTCTCACAAAGATGTCTGAATATCACACACAGATGTCTGATAACTTCGATAAAGTCGCTTTGAAATTATTTATATCAGGAATTTCTAGTTTTCTGAAAGAGTTTATGAATCATCTCGACAAAAGTTAGACATTGTATTTTCTTATCATCAGTTAAAGTCTTTTAATGACCCTGAATCAATTACTGTAACATCTAGAATAGAGGTTGCCACATTATTTAAGTTGATAAATGAGTCGTGGTTTTTTCGGTATCAGCTGTTCAAAAGCAGCGCCAGTGTCTGCTATCCAGTGAGGCAGAAGCTAAATACCGTAAATTCCAGAGCGCAATAAGATACCTCTCCACATTTTTTCAGTCAAAGCAGCAAACAAAATCATTTCAATCTTGTAATTTTGTTGTAGTAAATTTATGATGGTTTTTTTAGACTCTTTGGCGTGGACACAGAACAGCAACATAGAAGTTATCCCAGCTTTGTTTTCCTCGTCTATTTCAGCTCGATTAGTAATGTCTTCTTCTTAAACGGCTTTTAAATTTTTGACTAGTCACAAATCTCTGTACCCAAGTGTCTTCCAATCATCGAATTCGTCCCCCTGATTGACTTCCCTCTCTAGAGTTTCAGTTTACCTGTCCTTTAGTTCAGAGATGTACCAGCAGTGCGCCCATGAAAAACATGTTTAACCTTTTTTGGATTGATGCTCTGATTGGCCGGCTGTACAACCAACCAGAGCGTCTGTTTTAGGTGAGGTAGATGATCATATTTCAAGATAAAACGCTAAAGGACAGAATATGAAAAAATGAGAGTTAAACTTTTTTATATTTTCCCTGTAAAGTCAGTAAATGAAACTTAAGAAGCTCTTAAATGTGATTTTTAGACTCGCTCTCCGTCCGCTTAAAGAAGATCCGGTGCGTTTGTAAAACTTGGGGAGTAGTTTGAGTTCTGGAAACTCTTCAGAAAGGCGAACTTAGAGATAAAGTGCTGAGTGATATTACCTTTCAAAAGTCCACAGTTTTACATTTGCAATACGGTGTCTATTTTCAAATGTAGGAAAGTGATCCCTCAGCAGTTCAGGGACACGGCGAGGTTCAGGACGAGGGCGCTCCTGTCATATCCTCGACCGTGTGCGGCCCGTTTCAGAGTTTCTCTGTCAGCCTGAAACTTTGTCAGGGTGTGCTCCTCCTTTTTTTTTTTTTATTTGACATAAGAATGAAGGGCGAGTCATGAGGTCTGAGCCCTACACACACACACACACACAGACACACACACTTTTTCAGCACAGGATTTTTCAGCTTTGCCACTTGAATGTACGACACCCGTTCCTTCCAGCCCCGAACCCATCTTTGCTGTGCCAGATTTTTCACTGGGAGCAGAGACTTTTTATTCATTTTCATCCTTTTTTTGTTTTTTTGTTTGTTTTTTTGATTCGGGGAAGATTTCTCCTCCCTGACCTCTCCCTCTTCTTCATCTTCTAACTAGTAGGAGGTCCATTTCTATCCCGCCTCTCTTTGAAAAACAAATCTCCTCTCCTTCTGCATCTCTGATTTCCTCCTCTAGGGTCTCCCTTATTCTTTGCACCTCCAACCTTCAATTCTCCTTTTGATCCCCTCTTCTATATCTTCATCTAGCTCTTCCCGGCATGCTGATGATGTACGGTCGGTCTGCTTCATGCCGACTGACTGACACACCACAGATCCACGTCTCTGGGGACACGCTGGCACGACCGAGGGGCCTCATTTATCAGAATTATCCTCTGGCTTGATTTGATTCTGCATATTGAAACCACAACGACACTCAAAGAAATGACGGTCATTTCCAATATGGGGTTTTTTTTTTATCGTTTTATTGCAGCGAATCCGCAGACTTCTTCTCCCTTAGATTAATTTTGCATCAATCTCAGACTCCGTCGTAAAACTCTGGATGATTTTAATAAACGAGGCCCTTCAGGAAAAGTCTTTCTGTCCTTCTTTTCTACTGGAATGTGATCAATTTCTACTGTTTTGTTAAAGCAATGTTAGGGAGCAGCACTGAAATCCCACACTGACTCATGTATTGTTTTACAGCTGCACCTAAACTGTAGTGTGAGAATAATAAACAGCCGTCTGGGATTACTCTCTCCGGGCTTCCTGTCTGTCTTTTTCAGTCTCTCTCTGTTCCTCCTCACTCTATTTCCAAAAGAGGAGCATTAAGTAATCAATGAACTCGCATTGATCCGTATCGACTCCCAGCAGGAGCTGAAACTACACAAAGAGGATGCTGTTTCTGCCGCAGGACAAAATCGTCACCTTCTGCGTTTCTGTGGAGCCGTTTCAGCCTGTGAGTAAAGTACGCAAAAACAAAAGGTCACAGAGATGAATCATACCCCTGAAAACTTCCACTGAGGACATTTTCTCTGTTTCTAGTTTTAGGTACGCCAGGCAGACATCGAATCAGTCCAGCGCAGATCCTGCAGGTTCTGGCGCTCTCAGGTAATGACACTTTAAACCGAGTAAACAGAGTTTCCTCTCAGCAGAGAGAAAGTCCTGATTTCTATTTTTAGCTTGTTTTACATTTCAAAAAGTGGAGTGTTGCATTCATGCAGCATTGCAAGTCTGTGAAGCTCCTTTTGCAGAGGGTTGTTCTGTTCGCTGCCTCGAAGTTTCAAAGATTCTTCTGCATGTAATCTTTCTCTACAGCTAACATGATGGTTTTAAACCAGCAACAAGAAAGTCTATCCAGCCCATGCTTATTGTGCTGTTTACAGGTCACATAGAGGAGTCCTGCTCGAACCCAAAGGATGATTTTTTTCTTTCCTTCGCCAAAATCATTGCGTATTCGGTTGCCCCTAACATGCCCCAGAACTTATCGTTTTCTGCACATACAATAGGACTGGTGAATAATTTGAGATTTTGTTGATTTGCAACTCAGCCTAATGATCTAGATCCACCCTTAAATACATCTATGTATGTATCATGCCAAAACCTACGGAAAAATTCTCTTGTACCGATACCTTAAACTCAACAGGAAGCCAACCACTTAACCTTATGCTACATTGTACTCAGAAGTCAGGATTTCCGAGCTCTGAGTCAGAAATTCATGTGGAACGCCCCCCTGAAGTCGGATTTCTGACTCAGAAAGTCTTATTATTCTCACCAACCCCGACTTGACGACAACGTTGTAATCCAAGATGGCAGCGCAGTGCATCAACAGTAAAGAGTAACAGTGAAAGCTCTCGTAATGTTTTTTTATTTGCACTTCTGTTTTGTTTTCGTAAAATTAAATAAGCTGTATATGTTGTACTGACCAATGTCTAACTGTGAACACGGTGCTATGGTGTTTGTAAGAGTAAAATACTGGGTTATGTGTCATTCACAACTGGTTTAGCTAACAACAGCTAACATCTAACAACAACTAACAATGGCTAACAACAGCTAACATCTAACAATCTGTTTGATATTTCAGATTAAAGATCTAGTTACACTCTTAAATGCCCTTTTCTCAGCTGCAGTCACAGCGCCACCTTGAGGAAACACAGTACTAACGTTTATACTCAATATCTGATTGACTCCAAATTTCACAGGTTTTATGACGGTTCCAGCCTGAACTAAGCGATTGTCATAGAAAAAGCGCCACCCATTGAACAGGAGCGCCATAAACAGTTGTGTGAGTGCCACATGCTTAAGAGAGCGTCCTCAGTCGTTTCTGTGTCGTCTTGTGGACAGAGAAATATCTCCAGCAAAGGAAGGGTTGTTTTTTAAAAAAGGGACAAATAGCCTGTTAATAAAAATATCCTTATGTAGCTTAAGAGGCACTTAGATCCATGAAGAATCATTAACTGAAAGCCTGCTAAGAGACTGAACTATTCTAGTTTCTTCACAGTCTTTTCAGTCTGTCAGAAAAAAGATGACGTTTTTGAAGACCTCAAGTCTTGTACTTTTCACTTTGCCTGTCCTGAATCTGAACCTTTAAAGACGTTTTAGGTGATTTTAGTCAGGAGTCTCCTTCTTTCCTTCTCTTCACCCTATTCCTCCTTCTGCCACTCTCTCTCTCTCTCTTTCTCTCGGTTTTTGGGACCAGAGTTTGGAGTACCGGCTCTTTGCTGCAGGATCAGAGTAATATGAAATAATCCTCGGTCCCATTTGACACCACAGTATTGCATTAAGGCTGTTGAGTCTGTTTCTGTGTGTCGAGACATTTTGGGTTTTTGTCTCTGTGATATCTTGGGATGTTTCAGAATACGAAAAGTTGTCTCAGCTTTTGTATCAGGTCGCTCTTTACTTGTCTACCTCTCTATCCCGTCCAGCTAATCCAATCAGACGTTTCCCTGACACCACCTTTGTGGCGTGAAAGGCTCTGACTCTCGGCGGCCAATTACCGGCAGACAGCAGAATTATCACGCTTAGTTTCCCGTGGATGGAGAATGCAGACGGCGAGCCAAAGGCAACATGGAGGAGAAATTAACCTGTCAAGACTCTGCTGCAGCTTCAGCTGTCCCACCAGCACGGACACACGGAGCCTCATTTTGGTTGCCAGGATGGAGCACGTGCTTATTCCCATTAATGTCCCCAAAACCAAGAGGAGACGTGGAATCTTACTCAGGGTGACATCCAGCAGCTCTGGAGGTGCGAACAGATTCTCTTGGAAAACAGATTTAATTGCTGCTGGTGGAGAGAGGAGGTGTGAAAGTATTTCCTTCTTACTACGGTGTGAAGATCGGAGGCTTTTGGAGCTCACTGAACCCTGTTCAGAGTCAATCATGATGTGTGGGAGTTGATATCTTTGTTTCTCCAGCTTTGAAGGCGCTCACTATTTCTTAAAATCTGCAAACTTAATGGCAAACTTTTTGGATTATTGGATTGGTGAAATCGTTTGTGTTTTTCTGGGTTGAGGACCAGTTTTCCACCTGCTGGCTCTTGCAAAATTGTGCGTTAATTGTAAAAGCGAATTAAAGCTACAGTACCCCTGTCAATCCTCATCGTAATACAGTATACCAGCACATCAGACTGAAGTAGCTCCTCATATGATCCAGCAAAAGGCGCTGTCATGGTAACCGAGCTAACCCAGGAGGACAAAGTCGACCAAATCCAAGATGAGCGGACAAACACAACACCAAAACATCTAAAGCTGAAAACATACAGGATCTGTATTAAGCGAGTTTTGTCAGCGTAGCGTCTCTGCTCCTTCATCGCCCACAGGATGTGTATTTGGAGCGTAGCAGCAGCGTAGTGCAGCCCCGATCAGCTGGGCTCAGTATGGAGGAAACAACATGCGCACAACAGGTTGTTTTGCCTCTCTGTGGTCGATTTCCTGCTATTTTGGATATAATTCAGAGATTGTTTAGCCTCTGCTATATGTGAAAAAACAACATGATTTTACAGTTTTGTTTTTTGCTGGTTTCCTCGTGTTTAATAAAGTAAACTATGTTCCTTTATTCAGTGCTGCTACCTTCAGTTAAACGTCCTTTATGGATCAGGGATTGACCATCGGATTGTTCTGTGTTACTGATAAATCCATAAACAGGAAGTATTTCTCATCTGCACAAACTGATGCACAGTCATGAGTCTGCAGATGGTGTTTTATTTTGAAATTTACCAGATGACGTGCTCGGTTTCCATGCTTGACTTCCTGTCTTGGAGGATCTTCTCTGCATAGATTAATGCGTGTCGAAGGCGTAGAGCAGCGAAAATAGACTTAGCGCGTACCTTTAGCAGAGCCACGCTCAACACGCTTCTGATACAGAGCAAAGACGCCTCCTGTGTAATTTCTAGCATTGATTAGAATGGGAACCTATTAGCTTAGTGACACGCGATGCTAACAGAACACGCTCAACACGAATCCTGTGTGCTGCAGAGTTAATGGTGCGTTCGAGTTACCTCAGAAGTCACCCAAGTTCCCAGCATTTCAATTACCATGTCAGAAAAAAGCAAAATCGAGGTCTGAAACAAGATGGCTACATCTATGAAAAATAGTTTCGCACTTGCCTTATATTCGGACAAGGCGAGCGCTAAAATGTGACGTCATTTTCAGCTCCGACTTCTGACTTCTGAGGTAACTCAAACGCACCATAAGAAGAATTGTATTAGGTAATTTATGGACATGTTAGCACACTCAATTAAGAAACCCATCCCATTACACCCTCTACTGATGAGTTTTCAGAATGTCTCCCACAGCCTGAACTAGCGAGAGAGAAGGTTCCTGAGGTTGTTGTTAGAGAATAATTATCAAATTATAGCAATAAGATCTCTACGAAACTTCACAGTGTAGATAATGTAAGAAAAAAATTCCAATATCTACAGAAAAGCTACACATTTTTGCATATTTTCTAAAGGAAAAAAAAGCAATATTCTGGTTGTATTTTGATTTTTTCATAAACAACTCGTTCCTCTTCTGGCAGATAAAAGCTCTTCCTCTCTAAAGAGGAGCGATATCGGAGGAAGCAGAGAGAAACCAACACGGAAAGTTCCTGTAATTCTTTATTGATCCAGCTTCCATGAGGGTATTTGCAGCTCTGTGCCCTGTGCACTGACAGGGAAAGTCAAGAAGCTCTGCCAGAAAGCTTTTGCAGATCGATGATCATAGATTTTTTTTTTTAGGAGCTCCAACATGCATCCGACATGCTTCAGCTGGACTTTCTTTGTTTTCCTTCAGACAAAGATTGCTCACTCAAGTTATTTGTGGTCTCAGAAGTTTCAAATTTTATTTTCCCTTTTGGGGGAAATATTTGTGGAATATTTATGATGCGTGAAAATATTTATACTTGAGCTTAATTTAATTAAACAGACCAGCCGGCTGTTTGAATGCATCTGTTACCAGAAGTAACAGATGCATTCGAGGGGAAAAAGTGAACGTTTATTTAAAATGCTGTGAAACAAATCATTCAAACCCCGATTTATATTAAATTTAGAGCAAAAACAACAAATTAAAAGTTTAAACTGGATTAAAATGTTAAATTAAAGCTTAGACATGTAATTTTGGATGCGGGGACAAACTTGCGTTCACAGACAAAGGATTTTTAGAGGTCGTTTCAGCACATGTGTGAATTTCCACTACAGAGTCATGTCTGTTTTTGATGCAGCGACGCCAGACGGCCTGAAGATCACAGTTATCAAGTGTCGGTTTTAACCTTG